CTGCTTAGAGCCTTCAAAAAAGCCTTACCGACCATTATCCTTGCCTCATTAGCTATTTGTAATGCTTCAGTAATAACAGGTTGGTACACATCTGGAGAGTTGATATTTTTAAGTCAATAGAAGTATCACTGCATACTCAGTGAAATGCAAATTCGAGTGCGGCTAAGTTTGGAACGAATTCTCACAACTAGCCAGCCATTAATTTGAATTCTCAAGTTGATACTAGTAAGCAAAACAAACACAAAAACTCTCAACTGTTTACTCATCCAATTCAAGCGAAAAGCTAATTTATTCAGTATGCACCAACCGGGCTAATTAGCACGCGAATAGAAAGCACTGTTGATTCCGTTTCCAAAAAAGTAAATTAGTATCTGACCTACCATGCAAACGAATAACAGAAGAGAACTAGGGAACTTAGAGGTAATTTTGATCAAGTGCAGCTCGATACTCCCACACGAATTACAAAATGAAGTTACAACAATAAGCTTCAAACATGAGCGAAATTGACAATGTCAAGGATTGATGAAACAATGTGACTGGTCAAATCACAAAAGGAAGCAAAAAGGCAAAGGTACTGAGTTGTGTTTCTATCGTGGGTGATTCATAGTCTTGCTGATGCATAAGCTAGAAGGGTCACCACCCACGTCTTAGCAAGGAAGAATGGATTACGCGTATGAGAAAGTTCAATTAGAAATCATGCCAATTGAAACAATGGTTTCTTTCGTGCATACTCATGATAAAAAGCATCAATACTAAGCATTTGACAAAAATTCAGAGTACTAGCAAGTCCCCTTTCCTACCTCTTGGGCTACATCATAGTTACAACGTGCTTACAAGAGAAAGATGCTTAAATGTGGGCGTTAGTTTTCTTCAGCATCTAATGCCTCACAGGCATCAAAGTTACCATTTTCAAGAACAGGATTAAAAGTGCTACTGATTAAAGTACCATTAAGTTTATTCCGTTTGCAATTCCCAAGGCTTGAGAGACTGGCTATGTCATTTTATAATGAAAGCTCAGCCACTTTACGAATTGCCAATCCAAGGAGAATCATGAGATTTGACGAAAACATGAAGCCGTCATCTTGTGTTAAAATTTTGGAAATAATAATTATGATGATGGCGAGAATATTGAAAGTTTCAAAATTGTTGGCAGTAGTGACTGCGAATAATTAGCGTGCGAAAACCCCATTCTTACGTACCTGATCCTTCAGATCCACATTGAGCTCTGGCCGAGCGATTAAGAGTTTGACCATCTCTAAATTGCCGCAGTCGATGGCACACATTAACGCAGTATTACCAATGTCGTCCTGCGCATTGACATCTGCACCATGACGCAGCAGTAGCTCTACTACTGTAGTATTCGCCTTTCTTGCCGCCAACATTAACGGCGTCTGACCAGGCGCTGTTCCTGCCCGAGCATTCACGTCGCCGGCAGCTAGGAGACGCTCCAAAACCGGTACTGCTGAAGTGTCAATCGACTGTTCCAGATAACGTGACAAAAAATAGACAACTGTTGAATAAATCCGTATTTAGACCTTATGCCATACAAGCACTCAGTATCGACTGCATAAGGTAATATGGAGGGGTTGATGTATCAGTAAAAGAAGTTCAGGTGAGAATTTAACTCTTAGCTCTACCAAAGAAACAAATGATCAGACTTAAAGGCTCGGAATCTGCATTCATTTTCGACACAACCAATATTCAAATTTACGCGTATTCCAGCAGCTACCGACTGTCAATAATTGATCTTTGGTAATGGGAAAACTT